TTTTACCAGAAGGTAGATAGTGTGTCAAAGAAATGTGCTCTGAGCAGGGTTTTCTTAGTCCTGGAGAGGAGGTCAAGTCTTTTGGCAAAGGTTGTCTCCAAATAGCAAGTTTGCCATCCTGCTGAAGAGGGACTTTGGTCCCCACCCCTTTCAGTAGTTGTGGGTACTTAACTTGGCTTTTCAAAACCAGAGGGAGGTGGGGTGGCTTCTCTAAAAGAGCTGTCTTCTCTCCTCCTCGGGAAGGGGGTACCTTGAGAAAAACAGCATGAGAAACGAAGGTTCCCCAAACCTCCCTGCAGCTTCTACTTCCCTCCTGGGGTGGGATTCTGGGCAGATCATACACAGGGATTGTCTGGTCTTTTACACATCCCAGTCAGCGACACTTTGTGAACAGCTACTATGATGCTTAGGAAAATGTTATAGGGATGAAGCCCTAAAGAAGAAGAAGACTGGCCATCCCCTCAACACCGAAGACAGCTCTGGGCTCTGGAGGAGACAATCTCTGAAGGCAAGGCCTCCAGTCCACTGTTCTTAGCAACTTCAAGGGCTATCATGAAAAATCACCATACCTGTTTGCTTCTCAAGGGGAAAAATCACAGAAGGAAAACCCCCAATGTCTTAACTACCAAGTGCTGGAAGTCACTGACGCTTGGGGACCTGCCACGTGGATGTCACCGATGCTCCTTTTGTGTCACTGCCTGGCATGTGGCCCAACACCAGTTTCCTGTTTGATGTATGTTTCTCATGTAACTCCATGGTGTACAAATAAACTCTAGGTCTTTAGGAAAACCTCTCAAGACATCTGTGTCTCTGGGCGATTCTCCTTCCACCCACTCATCCCCTACATACACTCTCTGCTCTTCTCTGAGGGCCCTGCTCTGTATCCCCAGACACAGCTCACCAGGGACCAGACCCTGCTTCTCTTACTGGTTCTGGAACAGCAGACTACGGGAGGTACTGACTGGGAACAGAAAGGAAAAGGAGAGAAAATTCAGGGCAGCAGTCTCCCTGTTGTTGGTTTCTGTGGTTTCCACCATCCCTTGCTGTTGTCGGGCTCTAGGTTTCCCATTCTTTCCTGTGGCTGACTCCGACGTCCCTCACCTGAATACAGACCTTGCCCGGATGCTCTTCTGTGTGGACTGACTAAATGGATTGCTTTGTTCCCTGCCTGGGTTCCACTGACATGCTTTCCACTCAGTTCTTGTATTCCGGATAAGTGGGTAAAAACCATTCCCAGACCTGTTTATGGTGCTTGGGCGGCATCTATGCCAGAGCACAAAGAGCGCCTTGGCGGCGGGAGAGCACTAGGATCCATCCAGTAAGAATCTTCAGTGAGGGGGAAGCCTTTAGCTGCAGTGGAAAGTGACAACAGGGATGTGGCTTTTGCCACCTTAGGGATCCTCAAAGTTGACATCTTACTCTGGAACAAGATACCAGTCAGAGGGTTTCTTTGAGTCAATGGCATTTGCGGTGTGTGTATGCACATGTGTGTGTGCGCACACACGTTTTTGTGTGTGTTCTCCTTCCTTTGATTTCCTCCAGTGACCGAAGTTCCTGGGCCGCGCACTCTGCTAAGAACTCTAGCTTCTGTGGTCACTCCAGGGCTGGCCGCGTGTGCTCTCTGTTATCCTCTCTCGCCCACCCTTCCACCCCTCCGTCTGTCCGTCTGAGAGTTTTGCTCATTTAGGCCATCACACCTATGCAAGTTCCAGATCCTAGCCCGGCACTGCACTGCTGTCCGGGGATAATGTGGCTGGTTTTCACATGCAATTCTTTTTCAGCTGACGATATCATTATTGCATAGCCCAGACTTGTGTCCTCCCGTCTTCACATGAGAGGTCGTATACTATCAGAGAATGTTCACAGTGCTAGGGAACCACTGTCCCATTAGATCCAGATGTTAGCATAGCAGACAGATGTTTTCACGGTGGCACGACAGAGGCTCACAAGCAGGGCTAAGCTGTGATGCCCCTTATCCTCTTTAAGAGGGAATCTGAAAACTGTAGACAAAATGGGTTGTAATGAACGACAAACAACTGGTACAGTTACTATCTGGAAACAAAGATGCTATACAGATTCTGACTTCACTTTATACAATTCAAAGATGTTTTCTTCTAGGTCCCCATACCCAGCATTCCTCTGACACACAGTGTTCAAGTCACCACATGGCATAGGGTCCTAGGTTCAGAGGGTCTCCCCCCCAGTGGCACTTTACCAATTCACTCATACCTCTTTTCTTTGTGAGTTTTCCTAACACTCTACCCTGGAAAATTTTTCCTAAAGTAGCACACCAAATTCATCATTCATAAAATCCATGGGCTCCAGATTCCGCATTCGCCATGCCTTTGAGAAGCAAACACATGTCGCCAGCTGGGTGGCTACATCCCCGAGGCTTTGCCGGGAGTGTTGATGACGGGTTCTCAGAGCTTTAAAAAGATTTCACGCTGTCGAATCACCCCAGGTGGTCAAGGCCACGGGGATAAAGAGAGCTTTGGATCTTTCTAGCTGTGGATTCTGTGGGATTTGCTATGGGAACAATCTGCATCTTAGGAAAATGCTCAGAACTGTGCATCTGAGTTTTCCTAGACCAGGCTCCCACGGAGCCCACAGAAAATCAGTGATCGCTTCCCCATGCCCTTCACAGCCCAGCTTTGGGGCTGCAGGCTTAGCAAGGGAGAGTGAAATCTGTAATTATGGCAATAAGGTGGTGCTGGTGAGAGGAGTTTTAAGCACTTCAGACTTAAGGTTTCTCATTATATGGTCAGGGAGCCAAGCATCTACCTCTGGGGACGTCATAAAACTGGTGGATTACGGATCGCGGGGGAAATCATTAGGTACTCAAGCACAGAGTGTTCAGGATGTTTGCAGATCAGTAAAGGATGGTAGTTCTCAGCTTACAGTCCTCCATCCATCCATCTATCCATCCATTCTCATCTGCAGCCATCCAAGGATGGTCAGGGGAAGTCCGAAGGTGAAGAGCAAGGCCAGACTCCCTGGTCATAGTGTTTATAGCTCATCTCCTTGCCTTACTATCAGAAGAGTCAAATCAAGAGTCAAAGGGACAGTTACGGTGAATGACAACGCCATTGCAGCAGAGGGTAGGGAAAAGCCGTAGGTCTCCAAACTCGACCACACACTCTAGCTGGTCCAAGCAGTTTGAGAGTGACCTCAAACTTCGGAATACACACGAACATTTCTCATAGATCCACGGGAAGGGACTTGGACCATTATTGTGACACATTAAATTCAGGGGTCTTAGGAATTGAAAGTTTGTTCTTCTCTAACTTATAATCATTGTTCCAAGTCATTGCCCTTTGCTAAAAGAATCTAAAAGAAGACTATACATACGTATGAAGAGGTTGGAATGAGAAAATCTATTATTGGGATTCAATAATTCTCTCTCTCCCCCATCCAAATGAGAGCAGGACTTAGTGTGTTCTAGACACAGCTGGCATCACACCTAGCTCTTTGGAGATGCTCATAAATATTTTAGGTAGTAAACGAAGGAAGAAGTAGACAAAGAATATATTCTCAGGGAAAAGTAGGGAGTTCATGTTCAGTCCTCTGGATTCTTAGGTGTCCTTTGACACCCGGCAGTCAACAGAGAAACGCTGGTAGCCAGAGGGAGCCTTACCAGGATGCAGTGAATGCTTCCGAGGAAGTCTCTTTGAACAACAGGAATAGACATCTAATGCTTCATGATACCATTTTTTTTTCTGCGTAAAAGGTACAGTTTCTCACATTAAGGGGAAAGTACAATTTGTGGAGTTAAAAAAAAAAGAACAAAGAAAACAATAAAAGCAAAGGGACCGGAGAGATGGTTCAGCAGCTGAGAGTATATATTGCTTTGGCAGAGGACCTGAGTTCAGTACCCAGCATCCATGTTGGGTACCACATGCACATGTAGAAACCCACATGCAGATACACATGAATAAGAATAATTCAAAGCAAAAGCAAGAATCTAAAATAGTGGCTATGGGAATTAAAGCCAGGCAAACCCTGCCTCATTTGATGGATACTGAAATTAACAAAGAAATCCTGCATGGCAGTTGTCCCGGCATGGTTTTCAGACCTTTGTTTGGTGGCTGTACGGAAGCTCTCTGGGATTTTGGATGGACTAGGCCACATCTACAAGTACTTGCACGCAGTCAGAAAGGAGCACTATATTTAATAACACCAGTGATCATGTTCTGTGGTCCATAAATGCCACTCCTAAGACAGGATGCTCACAAAATAACTGTATGCACCATGGGATTCACAAGAGTGTGAGAAAGAGGCAAAAACAAAACAACCAAAAAAGGCAAAAAACCAACAAACCAGAAGGAGTCAGTTCAGTGAAGAGTTAAATACATCCCGTATATATCCACCAAAGACGTCAGTCTGAAGAGTCCGTGCAAACACAGAGACTGTATGAGATAATGCTAAGTTCAAAGCAGACTATAAAATACTAAAGACTCCCCAAGTATAAGAAAAGAGAAAAGATTTATCTGAGGAGGAAGAAGGGTCAACAGGAAACCTTGCAATGGCGCTAGCTGGACAGTGAGGTGATGAGCTGCTCTCTTTTTAGGATTGTTTTCTTAATGGAAAAACTGATGCCATTTTTGTGGGCTTTCAATACTAAAAACATAAATACCCTTCCTATCTAACAGTGATCCAGTGGGCTTTAATACTCTTAGATATAAAAATATGAATGTTGAAGGAAATGTGAAAAACTGTCCAAGACAGCATAAAGATTAAGTAGTTAAAAAAAAAAACTCAGGTGAGTACTCTATCTGGTTTGGATCAAAGTCTGGGCATCTCATCAGGACAAAACGCTACTTTTCAATTTTGCCTCAACTTAAAGATGCCTTATTCTAAAACTAAGATGTTAAAATCAAATAGTATTTCCTTTTTCTCTCTTATAAAATCAGTATGTGGCGGATGGGAGAAAGAGGAGGCCCAGGCAGAGACAGTAATGGTGAGAGCAGGGAGGGTGGGGTACAGAGAACCCGGGGACCCACCTCCTCCAGGGTCTTGTTTGTGCAGTTCTTCCTGGCAGCCTCCTGGAGCTCCATCGCCTGCTGGATGTACATTTTCCCAACCAAGATCTCATTTTCTAGCACCGACAGCTCTTTCAAGGAAATGGGCCAATTCAGGCGCTCCAGGGCTTTGTTTAAAACTGCCTTGTTTTCCAAGTATTGCAGGGGCTTGATAGCATCCAACCTGAGAAACACAGAAAGAAGGCAACAGGAATGAAAAGATAAGAGGAAGACAAGAAAAATGTACTCAGTTTCCCAATAATGCTCCTGAGACTCATCTGTTGACGCGGACGTCAGAAGACAGTGCCAGCTGTGCCTCCGGGTCCTCCTCTCCAGCCCTCAAAGGTCCCACTTTTCAAGATTAGTTATAATTAGAAATAGTCCTTGGAATGGATGGAAAACAAGCCTGGGCACTGTGCAAGCCATGTTGCTGTATGACAGAGGTCCCTCAATTACATCAGCTAGCAATATGGCCATCTTAGATGGGGGGGGCAAACTGCCTAAGGACCCATTTATCGGTTTGTACAGCTGGACTTAAGTAATTATCATACCCGGTGGTTTGTTTTGTTGTTGTTGTTGTTGTTGGTTTTGTTCTTTGAAGCAAACATTTTATGTAGCCTAGGCTGAGGTGAGTCTCCCCACCACTAGGATTATGGGTACTCGCCATCACGCCCATCCAGCGGCCAATGGTGAGGACACAGGGAAATGAGAACGGGAATGCTTGTGCAGAGACAATGGGACTGTGAAGTAGTGTGGCTGCTGGCAGCAAGCCTGGAGCATTCTCAAAAACCGAAACAAGAATTATGGTGTGATAAACCTACTCCTCACCATATATGGTAGAGAAATAAAAGTGTGTTCATACTGAAATGTCCACTCACGTGAGCACAGTGGTGCTCTTCATGACAGTCAAAAAATGTGGAAACTGAAAGGTTTATCAGTGGGAGTAGATAACCAGTGGTGTGTGTGTGTGTGTGTGTGTGTGTGTGTGTGTGTGCACGTGCACGTATATGTGGGTAAAAGATAACTTCCTTAGTGCGTGCATATATGTATACATGTGCATATATGCTACAACTTTCATGGGCTTTGAAAATATTAAACTTTCCCATTAAGTACTAGAAGACAGAAACAGAAGTGTCACGTGTGTGATATATCATGTGAGAGGTTCACAGAAACAGAAACAGACTGGAGTCAGCGGCGGCTGGAGAAGAGAGCGACAGGAAATACCTGCTTTAGGGGTACGTAGAAGTCTTTTCCTGGGGTGATGAATATTTGGGGGGTACACACTCTAAACACCGCTGGACCCCATGCTTTAAAATGGCTAACTTCGGTTACATGAATTTCACTGGCATTTCAAAACTGAGGCAGAAATGGAATGACTTACTTCTCTTTTTCCTCTTCGGACAGTGCTTGCCAGACGATTTTATTTAAGCGTCTGTTAAAAAAAATATAATAACAACAATTTAGGAGCAATAACTTGTTTTAAGTAAAAAAAAAATAGTTGACTTCAGGCTCTAAGAGGGGTTACAAAGGGGAGCCCAAGCCAGCTGCCAACCATTATTGGGCCCCACCACTGTCACCCACTTAAAGAGATTGCATAGGCACATCTCCTCCCTAAGCATCACTGAGAAAGCCTGGTGGCTGGGTAGGAGTTGTGTCAAAGTCTTTGCTCACAAGTAAAAGTTGTAAGCAAGTTGGTCCTTACCATCTCTGCATTTGGAAGTTTCTCATTGGTCGGCAAGATGGTACAGCAGAAAAGAATGCTTGCTGCCAAATTTGATTTGCCAGGATCCACATGGTGGAAAATAAAAATCGACTCCCTCAAGTCGTCTTCCACACAAGCATTATGTGTCATCACACACACACACACACACACACACACACACACACACACACACACACGCACACACTACTAATGCAATACGAATTACATTTAAAAAACAATTTCAGGAGCTACACTTTTCTTTCTAAGGCAAATGTCAGCACTCTTAGCTTGCCTTCTGCAGACACCCTTCTGCCTGGACTCTGAGAGCAAAGGGAGCTAACGGGATCATAAGCCTTACATTCAGAACTCATGCTATATATCATGTAGTCTAACCACCTTGTCTTCTGGGTAACAGAGCAAAGATGGGCACACAAAACACCTCAAGCATCCATGTGACTAGCTGTCAGTCAGGGAACTGAAGCCCCTCACTGACCATATCCTCACAGGGAAGCCACCTGACCAAGAGGAAAGGGAGATGAAGTTCTGGCTCCTTTCCTTCTACCCAACCAATGATGCTCCTTTCAGTGGATCCTGCCCATTCTGCGACAGTATGCCATCACCTCGGGCTGTATGGACAGCAGGGGACAGAACACTGACTCCAAAGCTTGTGGAGCAGGGAACATTGCCTTCCACGGGAAACGCTCCTCTGACCACTGAGACCAGTTGGCATCAGCACGGTATGCAGAGAATACATTGTGGGTGGACATGGGCCTGGAGGGGTTGGGAAGACAAGACAAAGATGGCTCATATGGGAGAAGAGCCATAGCACTGGGACCCAGACCTCAGCTTCTCCCATTCCTGGCTAAGACTTTGGACTAGAATGGAGTCAACCTTTCTGTCAACTCAAGCTGACAAGAGAATCCCCACCCCCGGTGCAGCCATGAGGACTCTGCAAGGACTTGTGTGCATAGCATATATATTGTGTCTGGTATTGGCAAAGTCTCTGAAGTGATGGCAAAAAGTCAGGAAGAATGGGGCTAGAGAGATAGCTCAGCCATTAAGAGCACGTGTTGCTCCTACAGAGGACCGCTGTTCTGTTCCCAGCCTCTACATGGTGGCCCACAACCAGCCATAGCTTCATTTACATGGAATCTGATGCCTTCTTCTTGCCTCCACAGGCACCAGGCATACACATACACACATATTCAGGCAAAACACCCAGAAAACAAAGTAAAACAAATGGATCTCAATCACCACGAGCCAGGAAAAGGGAAGTAGGCCAGCTCGTCCTTTAGTCTTTCTCGAAGGTTTAGGACCTTTGGGTTCCATTAGGAAATTGGGTTTCTTTAGTCACTTGGCTCATGTAACAATGATCAGGGCTTCTGAGACTGTTTGGTTTTCTGTGTTTTTCTTAAAATATGTTCAACTCTCTCTTCAATCAGACTTGAAAGCAAACTCAGTGTAGCGCGGAAGCAGGGAGGGCAGAAGAGGGCTTTAGCGCAACACAGACCTGGGGTCAGGCTCAGCCCCCAGCTCCACCTGGTTGCTATGTGATCCTGCTGGGCAGAATCCTTTGAAGTGCTGCTTTCTCAGGGATAAAAACAAGGCTAGCAGCATCCATCCGTGGCTTTGAGAGGATAAAGGAGAAATATAAGTGAAGTACCAGGAGTACCTCAATGTTCCTCCTCCTCTGGATGGATCAAAAGAAAGGTGAGCCTAGAGACACAGAGAGGCCATAGGTAATGTGGGATTACTGGGTCCAATTCAATTTAGCATGGATTGAATTTGAACTCAAAACTTTAGAAAATATTTCCCAGGGGCACATATTCAGAACATGTGTGCCCCCTCTTGTCCACATGCTTTGCAACATTTCAATGCTTTACTCAGTTGGTAGAGTGATTATGGCAAAGCCACCAAGAGTATATGATGACCATTCCTCTGAGGCACCTGGAGGCCATTGAATGTGAGGGTCTTCTGAAGCTGGTCCAGCCCCGGAGTCCTGGCTGCTGGTTTGCATCCATTGGACCTGCTGTAGCTCAAGCTGTAGCAAGAAATGACTTGCCTACAACACAAAGTTTAACTATTGACCATCATAAACCTGACCAGCAAGAAAGAGAAGACCTTAAACAGAGTCATCGAAGCCCGGCCCTAGAGCCAGACTAGACCTGAGACTTCTCTGTGGATTTGAGGACTGGGATCTTGACTTTGGCAATCAAAAAAAGCTGTAAGAAAAACGCTGCCTCTGAATGTGAGCAGCCCTAGAAACATTCAGGCTTTTGTTCAGACACACAGAGCCCAGACTCTCGAAATCCTGGAACTGAAGGACACTGTGTCAAAAATAGCTCTCCTTTATATACCATTCTGTGAACTTCCATTTGCTTGGTCATCGCTAGCTTGAGTGAACCTATGGATGTATAATATCATTTATTTTCAAAGTGACGTTGGCTTACTTTGGAGGAACAACATCATAGAGATGTGAGAGCGGATGTGGGACAGGATACGTGCCCATCACTCAGCATTTGCACACCATGAGAAAGATACACATGGGAAAACACAAAAAAGGGAACTGGCATTTATACAAACAAAATTCTTCAGTGCTACTGAATTCAAAGGCTCAGGAAGCTTTTGTCCTGTATAATATTGTTATTATTAATACTACTGAACATAATATTAAATAATTTAACATACACATCAAGACAACAAACCCAGTATTAGTTAAATAAGTAAAAATGTTAAACATTAACTATACTAAAGCTAATCTCATTAATGTAAAAATTATTATTACCGAAAGTACAAGTTGAAGATCTCTTATCCATAAATGTTTGGGATTTTAGATTTTGAAATATATTTGTATGTATGTAACAAAATATCTTAAGGATGGGACCCAAGTTCAAACACAAAATTTACATAGCTTTCCTATCTCCCTTATATGCACAGCCCAGAAATAAATTTGTGCACAATTATTAGTGCATGCACCAACATTTTCATTATGGTCTTTTCCATGTGAGCAGGAATGGGATTTGCCGTATGTGGCATCATTACGGGCACTTAAAAATGTTGGTGTCTAGAGCATCTGAGGCTGGGAACTCTTAGGAGGTTTTGTTCAACTTGTAGCAACAATACTCCTCTAACATTAGCAGAAGAGTTTTTGAGAGTTACTCACAGGGACAAATCACTCACTCTGTCTTTCTCAAGGGAGTGTTGTTCTGCCCGGGAATAGAGGCCTCCCTCCTTTCTGAGATCCTCAGGAAGAGGTGGACATGGTAGAAGGAGTCAAGGGGCTGCTGTGTTGCACACAGTCATGGTTATTTTAGGATCAACAGATTCGGGGTGGGAGGCAGATCCACGCGGAATGCTTCTTACGTGTGGTCTGAACAACCCTCCCAACAGCCCTGTGTTGTGGGTTCTGCAAATAAGTTATCTGCTCCCAATACCTAGAAGTAGGCACTGGTCTGGGCTAAGGACAAAACATGCAAGCACTACCTGACCTCTAAGCCTGCATCTCTGTACCAGAGGTTTATAGGCCAAGTGATTACAGAACTCAGCTATCTGAATATTTCAAGCAAATGACATTAGAATTTGAATGGAATTTTATTGCATTTGAATACCCAAATCAAACTTGAACATTTTAATAATGAAACTGGAATCATATCAAATCTGAATGAATTTCAAATAGTCAGGAGCACAGGCCTCTGCTAGAAATACATGGAAAGGAAAACAAGGCTGGCCCAGCTGTAAACTAGTGGACTGGAATGTCAATGAGCTCCAGTGGACAGTGCACTAACTGAGAGTGTGACAGGACACAATAGGGGAGTAGCTGGGGTGTGTGTGTGTGTGGAGGGGATGTCCTCTCTGAGAAGGCCATTAGGAAGAAGGACCAGTTGAGGGACAGCAGAATAACAGTCCCTGAAAGGGAGGACACTTCATGCAAGCACCAGGGAGAGGAGGAAGCTTAGGATAGGTCATCTTGCTACCAAGATAAAAATGGAGGACAGAAAGATGCAGAAAAACAGACAGAGCATCCCTAATCCAAAGACACCCTAGATCCCAACACCCTTTTTGAGTTCCAACGTGACAAGTAGGAAATCTCACCCGTGTCATAAAACTTTTACTTCTGGCATGAAATTATTTCAAACAGTGAAAAAAAAAAAAGTATTTGGACTTGAGCCCAATTCCCAGGGCAACCCATTTCATGCATAGTCAAGTATTCAAAGATACGGGGGGAAAAAACCCTGAAATTCTCCTGACCCTTTTTTTCTGGATAAGAGATCACACCCTGTGCTGATGACTCTACAAACACCACTGGTGGGGCTCATGTGAGGGGGACCAGCCCTTCCGGAGGGGCAGTGAAGGAATCTGATACTAAGAAGACTGAGGAGCCATACAGTGGTGGGGAAAGGCCTTTCTGTGGATTGACTGTGTGGGCAGGAGTTGGGCTCCGAGTACACACTGAGTTATGATGGTGGATTAGTGGGGGCCTAATCCATCACTAACCTCTAACCTCTATGTGTCTTATTACTTATACTCTGATGTGTCGATAACAAAAACTCAACCATGAAGCTTCTGGAATCTAGAATAAGCTTCCCAAAGAAGCTGGGCACCTTCAAAAATTCCTTAAGTGTGCACACTAAGGGTTAATTCTAGGTGTGCAGGTCATGGGCAAAGGTGACAGACAGGCCACCTGTCCCTGAGGAAAGCCTCCACCTTTTGAACTGTTTGAGTGTAGAATTCTCAGTAGTCATCTTAATCATCCTCTTGATATAAAACATGTAAAAAGTAATCTATATTTATAGAGCTACCCCTCAGTGTTCGTGAGGAAATGATTTCAAGATCTCCCTTTATGGGTTACAGCTATTGCATTTGCATATAATCAAGGCACACCCTCCCAGACACTGTAAGTCACATGTAGATGACTCCCAAGACCCAAGATCATGTAAATTGTGTACACATACTTGCTTTGTATTTGGAGGAATGTGACAAAAAGCAGTCTGCCCACGTTCGGGTCAGACACCGTTTGCCTTCCTGGTTATTTTTGCTCTGTGGAGGGCTGAGTAGAAGCAGCAGCTATGTCTCGACTGTGGCGCTGTTAGTTATTTTTCAAAGTGTTAGCCCAGGCCGATGTGATCAAAGCTACTGCGGTAAGAGGAAAATTTGGAAGGTTTCCTGGAAACACAAGATTTCTACGGAGTTTACGATGGGAAGGTGGTTTATTTCAAATTGTTGGAGAGATCAGCTTAGGAGCCTAACCCAGCACCCAGTAGGACCACACGTGAGCTATCGCTTTGTGTTGATACTGGGCCATTTTAAAACTGCTATTTCAGATGAAACAATCTAAGCCAAAACGAGGGAGAAAAAAAAACAAAGCAAATTATCTTTCAAGAGCTTTGGGGAATAATACTCACTTTTCGTAGGATTTAATGGCCTGTTCCACATTTTGCTTGTAGATATTGAGTTTGACTCCTTGGGGGTTAATTAATATCATCTTATTGGTGTCATTGCACACATGTGCCAGAGGGGACATCTATACAGCAACGGAGACAGGAAGGCAAGTGTCACTTGATGGGTTCACGCGAGCTTTCAAATGTGTATTTATATGGGTACATGCCTTTCTGACTATAAAAACAATGCTGGAAGTGCAGAAAAGTAGAATGTAGTAATTCTTAAAAGTAAGAATAAGAAATATAATTACTAACTTTTCTTTTTCAATTTTAAAAGCTACATATTTTCAAAATCACCACCACAAAACCAACAGAAGAAAACCCAAAACTGTTTCAGGGGACCCTTGTCATCACCGAGTGTTATCTTTAAAAGCTTCTATTAAGTTGGTAAGAGTAGGCAATAAGAAATAGAAATTATATATATAATTATACATGTTATATATAATTATGTTTGCTTATGAGTACATATGTGCACCACACACATGTCTGGTGTCTCTGGAGGGCATCAGAGCCTCTGGAACTGAAGCTGTGAGTGGTTAGAAATCATCATGTCGGTGTTGGGAATCGAACCCTGGTCCTTCACAAGAGCAACAAGTGCTCTTAACCACTGAGCCATCTCCCCAGTCCCAAGAAATTTCTTTTAATAGGGAAATCATTTTACTTTCAATCAAGGTTATGAAGTTCATGCCGTTTGGTTCCCCAGCTTCTAAAACTGTGCAATAATATATTAAGAAACTAGCACAAAGAAGAAAGAAGATAGAGCTATAAAAACTGAAGAGAAATGTAAAGAGGTGAATCAGGGTGAAGCTGTGGGTCGCTGACTCTGTGCCCAGTGATAACAGGGCAGTGAGAGTCCAACTCCCAGAGCTAAGTGGGATTATGAGTGTTCTGGAGAACCAGGGTCCAGGTTGGGCTCAGGTTAGCTGAGGTGACTGAGTCCCTCATCCTGGGAAGAAGGTACTGATTAGCAAGAGGGGCATTCACATAGCCTCAGAACCAAGAACCAAGCCTGGGGAGAGTATCAATGTACACACACCTTCTGTGTTGCCTTTATCTACTGCAAGAAGGAACTCCCCCCCCCCCCTTCTCAGCTGCGCTCAGCTGGGGCTTTGCACTCAACCGAGAGGAGGACCTATTGTTTGGTGTCAATTGGGCCGCACCAAGACAAACAAGAGCTCATTGAAATTCTAAGTAGATGCAATTTTTTTTTTTTTTGAATCTTGGAAGAATGACATTGGAACTGGAATAAAGGGATGATCTTCATAGATTGAACAAAGTTGAAACTAGGCATAATCACTTAAAAAGAGCCTGTGAAGTAGTGGCTTATAGAGGCCCCCACAGACAAAAACACAGATAAATGGGCAACAGAGAGAGGGATATATGGATAGCTATTGAGAAGCTTCAGTGTATAGTAATAGAAACGTCAAAAGAATACAATCAAAGAGGAAGGGCACACAGGAAGCGACATCTGACGGCGCGTGCGGAAGCTTCACAGATGTGGCCGTAGTGAAGCATTAGACTGCGAAACGGTCGGAAAGACACCATTTGCTGACAATTGACGTTGGTGCTGGCCAAAGTCAAGCTGTTTGCTAAGAAAAGAGCCAGACACAGTCTGTCTGTGTGTTCTGGGGAATGGGAGGGGGTGTCTGGGTCCTAGTACAGAGAGGGTGCAGCTGTTGGGGATCTTTATTCACTGGGTCAGCTCTCACAGCAGGGAAGGGAGAGTCTGCGGCCAATTCAGAGGTTCAGCTGCTAACCTGTCTTAAGATTTAACAATAGCCTGGCCTCCCAAATTCCATTTTCAGTCCCCAGAATAAAGGTTGGACCATGTTGAATACTTTTTAACGGTAAAGTTTTAGGTTAGAAACATGGCTTCGTATTTTTGTATTGAGGCATATACAGAAACTTTGGTTAAGGATTACCTTTGAGGAAGGAGGGAGGAGAAGTGGTCAAAAAAGGTGCCATGGGGGTCCTTTATATTACTTGTAATTCCTTAACTACCTTTTAAAGTGTCTAAAACAAGTCGGGTAGTTGTGGCGCAGGCCTTTAATTCCAGCACTCGGGAGGCAGAGGCAGGCAAATCTCTGTGAGTTCGAGGCCAGCCTGGTCTACAAAGTGTGTTCCAGAACAGCCAGAGTAACACAGAGAAACCCTGTCTTGAAAAACCAAACCAACAACAACAAAAAGTATCTAAAACATGCATAACATTGGGTTTTAAACTATCAAAAGTAGCTATGCCTAAAACTTGGGACTTCCAGGAGGAAGGCAAGAGTTTAATGATTTTACTGTTTAAGAATTTTAAAATACATACATTTGTCCTAGAATTAAATCACTAGGACCCATATGAGCAAAATGGTCAAAGGTTTGGAAAATGGAAGAGAAAGGCAGGAAGTGAAACGCTTTGGAGTTTAACCAACTACTGAGAAACCACACAGAGTCAGCATGCGACTGCTAAATGCGCCTTTCAAAGGGAAGGAAACAAAACAGGAGGCTAAAGGTGAAATGCCTAGGTTTTGAAACTGAAGATTGCATAAGTGTGTAAAAAAATAAAATAAAATAAAAAAGATGAAGGAGAAAGAAAGAAAAAAAATCAGCCCTCAAAATAGAGCAGTATCACAAAAGCTTGAAAAAAATCAATGCCAACCAAAATGAAAGACAGTTATGCTTTCCAGGGCCTGTCAGGAAAGCACTCCTTCAGAAGTCTGTAAGTGTCTCTCCTAGTTTGCCAGTCTAGCGGTCAACGATAAATCAGTACTAAAAAATGCTTAGTCAAAATCCTGACTCTTGACTTCACCTGCTCAACTAAAGGCAAGTTCATATGGTACTTCCCTCTTTGGTAGGTGTAGATTTCATGCCTGGCATGGCCATCACGGACTTGAGTGTAGCTGTTCAGATTTGACTTGTGTACCACCCACTCGCCTTCCTTTCTGCAGGCAGGATTGGGGGACACAAAGGCATACTCCACACCTTCAGTCTTTTGGTCTTAGTTTACAGCATGGTGGTTACTTAGAGGCCAGATGATCCACCCTCTTTATGATGTCAAATTTAGTGTCACAAGGGGCATTCCAGGGCTTAGGGGATCACAGTCAGGCTGCCTAGCATCTGGGAAGAGTGAGCGGGGAGGGCAGTGAGGTTCATGAAGAAGATGAGGACTCGGTTTGGGAGAGAGTAAAAGGCATGTGATCACAGCCTCCTTGAAAATGACCTCCTTCACACTTTTATAACTTAGAGGGGGATCCACCTTATTTGGGAATAAGGAGAAGCCTAAGGCGCCATCTTCTTTAGTTCTCTGAGGCAAAACTAGAGTCCTCACCAAATTCATACAACTACCCCTTAGTGACAAGATTTTAACTATGAAAGCAGTAGGCTAGAGGGGCACCAGGAGTAAGTTTGTGGAGTTGGGGAGGAATAGAGAGATGGATAGAAAGATAGACCATAGAGGTAGAAATTTCTAGAATTTATGGGTAGGCAAAATTGGGCTGATAGTTATAATTGTTCTACTCTTACATGTAATACCTTGGACCATCAACTGGAAAGCAGGTTCAAGAAAATACAACAATAACAACAACAACAACAACAATAATTTATCCCCACTCTCTGCCAGGAATAACAGAGACATTCTCTTCATATGCTCTCATCCAATGCCATTATAGACAAATACATTTAATTGTAGCTTTTGTTATATGGCCAACTAAACTGTCCGCTAAGCTGTAATGTCTTCGTTATTTTATGTATGGGCATTTTGCCTGCATGTATGTCTGTGTACCATGTGTGAGCAAAGACCAGGATAGGGTGTCAGATCCTCGGGAACTGGAGTTACAGGTGGTTGTGAGCCACCACGTAGGTGCCAGGAATCAAACCTAGGTCTTGTGGAAAAGAAGTCAGTGCTCTGAACAGCTGAGCCTCTCTCCAGACCCCTTTAGTTGGCTTTTATAAGGATTGCTTATTGGGGGGGTCAGTGAAATGGCTCAGTGAGTACAGGCTGTTTCTTTTATACAAGCCTGTCTACTTTAGTTCAGTTCACCAGAGCCCATGTAAGCTGGGAGAGCATCTACTCCACAATCTGCTCCTTTCACCTCTACATGCACACTGTGACCTGTGTGCTCTAACCCTATAACACAGATACATTCCAAATTGCTGGTATAATACATGTACTAAACATAAACATATAATAAAATATGCATAATATGTATTGAATAACATGAAAGACTAAAATAGAGATTGATATACTGTAAAATATAGTTAAGTTTAGATTCTGCCAAGTCTGTCTTGTTAGAAATGGAGGCACGGGACAAAGGGAGACTTTATCTGCTGGGTGGGGAGTTTGCCGAAACGAGCAATGTGAAAAGGATTTTGAAGAGATTTATTTCTTTTTCATTCAAACACGGTAAAATACTTGAATGTTGAAATGAAACCATGATGCTGTCACACCGTAATAGAAAAGGTCAAGTTTTTACTGGGTTTGCTGTATGTGTGCATGTCACTGTTTCTTAGTGACATCAGAAAGACAGAGACGATGGGTGCTCTCAGGACTTCATGCAGGTTGCCCCATATGGGAGGAATAGCTCGATATGTTGTCACAGTTTAACTGTCATTTTAAAAAGATATTTTTAAAGTTTTAATTATGTGTAGGTCTGTACATCTGTGTTGGGTATGTGCACACATGTACAGGTACCCATGAAAGCCAGAAGAGGGCGTCAGAGCTCCTGGAGCTGGAGGCATAGGCAGCTGGGAACCATCTAACATGGGCGCTGGGATTCAAACTCAAGTCCAGTGGGACAAGCAGTGTGTGTCTTCGGCTCCTATTAGTAAATGTTATTAAAACTTCTCCAAAAAATCATTATTACATAGAAACATGTTCAGAGCAGAAGCTAGATGAATAAAACATCATGTGTAGTTATGTACACGGCTATTAATTTTCAACATAAATCAGAAGGAATTTATCTGATGACATTAGAAGTGGCAAAGATGAAATTGAGAAAACTGTGTGAAATTGATGGTTTTACATTTCACTGTTTAACCTAGACCAAATTTATGAATTCCAATGTTTTCCAATAAATATCTCAGCACTCAGTGACAAGCC